AAAAGTTGAAACTGCATGTCATTTTATTTTTAAATGTCAAGTTAAGTCATTAGCAGCAGATAGCTTGGAGATATCGGTACTATTTAGAGATTGGATTACTGGCGAGAGAAGGAGTTATGGTTGTCCACCTTTATCGACCAAATTTGAAAATGACGTTGATGAAATAATGCAAGATTTTAGTGATGACGGCATTGATGCAATGGAAGAACTAGCTAATCAACCAATTCCAGAGCATGTTAGTAGAGAAATGTTAAATGATTTAAAAAAAGATTTCATTGGTAGCATGAACTAGTAAATTTAAATGTCTATTAGTATGAGTATAATAATTCGAGGTCTAATTCAAACAGAACCCTTCCTAGAAGGTGGCTGTGTAGATTAGATTTTTTAACCTACTAATATTTTGTAACTCATGAACTTGTACTATTTAATTAATATTAATAAAAGTATAGGCTATTCGCCTTAAATTTTTTTTATTGTTGTCTTGAAATTTAACTTTTAAAGTGTGAAATTTAAACTTTTTATAGTTTTAAAGTTTGAACTTTGAATTTAAATTTTCAAACTTTTAAAGGGTGAAATTTAAACTTTTATAGTTTTAAAGTTTGAATTTAAATTTTCAAACTTTTAAAGTGTGAAAATTTAAACTTTTTATAGTTTTAAAGTTTGAACTTTGAATTTAAATTTTCAAACTTTTAAAATTTAAAGTGTGAAATTTAAACTTTTATAGTTTTATTAGTTTTAAAGTTTGAATTTAAATTTTCAAACTTTTATAGTTTTAAAGTTTGAATTTAAATTTTCAAACTTTTATAGTTTTAAAGTTTGAATTTAAATTTTCAAACTTTTATAGTTTTAAAGTTTGAATTTAAATTTTCAAACTTTTATAAGTTTTAAAGTTTGAAAGTTTGTATTTAAAACTTTAAAAGTATAATTTTTTTGTTTCTAATAAAATTATAAGAGTTTTAATATTATTTGTGTAATGTTCCTAATGTTTTAATTTTAATAAAAAAAAATTAAAATTATAACAGTTGGGACCCGGTTTCCGGTCCGATACCGGTCCGGGACGGGTACACTGGTTTTTTTTCGGAATTACCGGTTCCGGTCCATCTCGATTCCAATTCGGTTCCGGCCCGTGGTGCCCGGTTCCGTTCCGGTTCTGGCCAGTCCCGGTCCGGTAGTCCCGGTTCCGATTCCATTGCCAGCCATATTAGACACCGAATGAAAAAAAAATTGGTATTTATGTTAGCAAGGGAACAACATTTTTGTTCAAAATGGCGCTAAGAATTTTTATTTTTTAATTGGTATCTAATATTCATATTGGGGAATTTGCTAAATTTGAATTTACGCATTTTAGAGAATGCTATCAACAAAAAAAAGTCATTTCCATGAATTTGAATTCAAAACCTCTAATCAAGGTGGAGACTTTCAGAATTTGATGTGACTTTCTTAATATTTTAATTTATTTATTTTTCGTAGCTCTAATCAAGGTTAGAGTTATGCAGGGTTTAGTTATGGAGGGTTTAGTTATGCATGTATTAGTTATGCAAGGTTTAGTTATGTAGGTATTAATTATACAAATATTAGTTTCGTAGATATTATTTATGTAGGATTTAGTTATGTAGAAATTATATTACATAAATTATAACTTATTGATTATTTAATTTATTGTAAATTAATATACTTTTTAAAAAAAGTCGGAAATTATAAAATCCATGCTTATAACAAGCAGTATCCAAAATAAATAAAATGCAACAGTCCCTCGGGGTGGGGTGGGGTGGGGGTGTAAAAACGACGAAACTCAAAAACACCCTAGGGGGTCGTTCTGGTTTTTTTTTGGGTGGTTGTGTGTGGGGGAGGGGGGGTAAAGTAACACTACAAGTTACAGAAATAGTTTTTTTTAAAAAGAAAAGATATAACTCCTTAATTTTGTAAATTAATATACATTGTTATTTACAAACAAATTAAGGGTAAATATGTAATTTTATTATTTTAATCCATGTATAACTAATACCCTCATAACTTATTCCACCTTCTACCCTGCATAAAATTATACATAGATTTCTTCATAAGTTATGTAAGTATTAGCTATGTGGCATTACAAAAATACAACCAAACACCACATAAAATCAATATATGTATAACTTTTATACAACATTGAAGACACACCAACCAAACATTGTATAAAATTTATACATAAATAATTTTGATTCTATTTACAAACCAAACATGGTACAAGATTAATATATGAATAACAAAGTTAACTTTGCCCTTATCCAGTAACCAAACGGCCCCTAACTATTCAACCCCAACCAACTTAAAATCACCTCTAAGCAGTCCTAAATTTTAGATATAAAATTCTCTCGATATTTCAACTCTTTTAATATATAAATCACTTAAAATAATTCACATTATAGTTCATTGAATTTTAAGAAAAAAAATACATTCACTTTATCACACCCGTTGAAAATAGGTTGCATACTTTCAGTTACACAACAAACTCAAAAAAGGAAGTAAATGATCGTCATTCTAGTAGTGATTAATATTTTAAAAATAATAGTCAATCACTATATTTTAAAACTTGATAATAAAAATAAAATAGAATTACTATTTTCTTCGAATTTAAAATATGCTATGAAATTTAAGCATCTTGTATACATATGAATAAGTGGGAGAAGGAAGGTTTTTGTTTGAAGTATGTGAATTCGATTATAGATTACGCAATTTAAGAAAATTGAATATAACTTAAATAAAAAGGTTAAAATGAACTATTGAATATAATTTTTATGTGATTAAACTTATTTGGCTCCAAAAAGAATTATAGTTTTGAAAATTTCTTATCAATGTTGTGACTTTTTTGTTTCTTTTAAAATTTTGAACATCACTTTGTAAATAACTTTTTAATAAACATTGTGAGATTCTTTAATGAATAATAAGGATTAAAAATGTATAGTAACAAGCTAATAAAACAAGAGTCAATTTGTAGCAAGCAATTCTATGAGCAAGGTCAATAAGTCAACAAACACTTTTTTTTGGAAGTTGTGCGTATGTGAAATTGTTTTATTTATACGAAGATTAGACACCAAATGAAAAAAAAATATGGTATTTATGTTAGCAAGGGAACGACATTTTTGTTCAAAATGGCGGTAAGGATTTTTATTTTTATTTTTTAATTGGTATCTAATATTCATATTGGGGAATCTGCTAAATTTGAATTTCCGCATTTTAGAGAATGCTATCAACAAAAAAAAGTCATTTCCATGAATTTGAATTCAAAACCTCTAATCAAGGTGGAGACTTTCAGAATTTGACGTGACTTTCTTAATATTTTAATTTATTTATTTTTCGTAGCTCTAATCAAGGTTAGAGTTATGCAAGTATTAGTTATGGAGGGTTTAGTTATGCAGGTATTAGTTATGGAGGGTTTAGTTATGCATGTATTAATTATGGAGGGTTTAGTTATGCAAGTATTAGTTATGTAGGGTTTAGTTATGCAGGTATTAGTTATGTAGGTATTAATTATACAAATATTAGTTTTGTAGATATTATTTATGTAGGATTTAGTTATGTAGAAATTATATTACACAAATTATAACTTATTGATTATTTAATTTATTGTAAATTAATTATTTTTTTTAAAAAACTCGGAAATTATAAAATCCATGCTTATAAACAAGTAGTATCCAAAATAAATAAAATGCAACAGTCCCTCGGGGGTGGGGTGGGGGTGTAAAAACGACGAAACTCAAAAACACCCTAGGGGGTCGTTCTGTTTTTTTTTAAGAAATAGATTAAGTCCTTTTTTTAAAAAAGAAAAGATATAACTCCTTAATTTTGTAAATTAATATACATTATTATTTACAAACAAATAAGTAAGAAAACAAATTAAGGGTAAATATGTAATTTTATTATTTTAATCCATGTATAACTAATACCCTCATAACTTATTTCACCTTCTGCCCTGCATAAAATTATACATAGATTTCTTTATAAGTTATGTAAGTATTAGCTATGTGGCATTACAAAAAATACAACCAAACACCACATAAAAATCAATACATGTATAACTTTTATACAACATTGAAGACACACCAACCAAACATTGTATAAAATTTATACATGAATAATTTTGATTCTATTTACAAACCAAACATGGTACAAAATTAATACATGAATAACAAAGTTATTCATGTATTAACTTTGCCCTTATCCAGTAACCAAACGGTCCCTAACTATTCAACCCCAACCAACTCAAAATCACCTCTAAGCAGTCCTAAATTTTAGATATAAAATTCTCTCGATATTTAGATTCTTTTAATATATAAATCACTTAAAATAATTCACATTATAGTTCATTGAATTTTAAAGAAAAAAAATACATTCACTGTATCACACCCGTTGAAAATAGGTTGCATACTTTCAGTTACACAACAAACTCAAAAAAGGAAGTAAATGCATTTTTGGTTCCAAGTTTGGAACTGCAGTTATCTTATTTTATATTTAGTTCACTTTAAGTAGTTATCTTAGTCAGATTTTTTTTTAGTTATTATTTCCTCTATCTCAATTTATACGATTTATTTTTCTTTTTATTCAATCTAAATATAATAATATATTTATATATATTTAGTATTTTCTACTTTAATTTCTCTTTTTACTTGTCATTTTTTGACAAATTAAAGAAGGATAGCTTTTTTTTAATCATACTTTCAATTTATTAATATTGAGTTAATGTCTTTGAAAAGTATAGATCATGTAGTGAGTAAATTTGTTTGAGACTCTATTAATTAATAAGGGTAAAATGATAAGCTCACTATATTAATCGATGTTCTCTTAATATGTGTGTCGAGTCAAAATTTGACAAATAAATAGGAACAAATGGAGTAATAATTTAATTTAAAATGTAATTTTATCTATGATTTAGTTTGGATCATAAATTTTAAAATTTTGTCTTTTTGTTTAAATTTTTATGTCAAATCAAATTAAATCACATAAATTGAGACATACTCCCTTTTATCCCATATTAGTAGATCACTTTCCTTTTTACACGCATATTAAGAAATTACAAATAAGAGGATAGTTTTATCAACTCATCCCTTAAGAACTTCTCTGAAACTTTACAAACAAGTGTGAACACTTTAAAAAATAATTAATTGTAAGGATAATAGTATGGAAAAAAAATCAATTAATACTTTCTTAAAATAGTAAGGTGATCAATTACTCCTTCGGTTCAATTTTACTTGTCACATTTCGACTTGACACACCCATTATGAAAATAATATTGATATAGGTATTTTACCAAATTATCTCCTGTTAAATGATGTCTAGAAAAATGATTTGGAAAATAAGTATTTAATGTTGAGGGTAAAATATGAAGAAAAAAAATTATTATCTTTTCTTAATATGTCAAAAGTGACGAGTTTTATTTTAGGAATAAGTGACAAATGAAAGTGAATGAAGGGAGTAAATGTAACAACAAGTATAGTGATAAACTAATATGAAACATAATTAAGGAATATGAAGAATTCGTTTTTATGAGAATTAATGATGTGATAAATTTGATTTTAAAATAGAAATAATTAATATATTAATATAATTTTGACCAATAACCGATTCGTGACTCTCACAAAAAGGTATGAAACAATAAACATTCCACATGAGGAATTTATTAAGCTCACATACAAAGAATTTGCACTTCCTAGTAGTTGGTTCCAACCACAATATTTATGGCTGTGTACATCAAAATCATCATTGCTGACTCAAAAGTTTTTTCATAATAAAAATATGATAGAGTTGACCAGTCAAAGGTGCATTTAAAGTTTTTTAATAAAAGAAGATATTTTTTTACTAAATGTAGTTGAGTTTGAAAATGACATCCATTTGACTAATTGCTACTTCTTTGACTATAACCTTTGAAATAATTATATTTCCGTTACATTTTATTTGATTCATATTATCTAAACGAGATGAGAGGAGTATTAATTACACTAGAAAATGGTTCAATGTTTTCAATTGAACTTATTATTTTTTGTATGAAACGCAGAGATATATATGTAAAAGATCGAATCGATAGCTTTAAAAATACAACATATTCACTGCTAAAAATCTTAAGAAATTAAATTTATCGAATTTAAATATTAAATCTGCATGATATACTAATCAACACTTCATAGAACAAGAACTTACTAACATATCATACCTAAAAGATACATCGTGTTCGATACTAAAAATCTTTAAAGACTGAATTAATCAATTTGAGTCTGTTTGATCTACTAATAAACACTTCATAGAACAAAAATATATCATATTCAATACTAATAATCTTAAAGACTGAATCATCAAATTTAAATATTGGATCAACCTTTACTAAACACCACTTTGATATAGAAAGAATTATACTAACATATGAAGGAAACATATATATATATCAAGAAAATTGATTACAATCAACATGAGATGTTTATCATAAACAAGAAAATTAGCTAAGTTTTTAATGAGGATTAAGAAGAACTAATTAAGATGAATCAAACTTATAGTGTTTATCAACAGCAATTGAAACATCCCAAGTGCAACTTAATCCTTTTGGAATAATAACAAGATCTCCAGCTCCAAATTCAACTATTTCATCATTTGAATTCTTTGTTGAAACTTTCACTTTACCTCTCAATAAATAACATGTCTCTTGTGCATCAAATTTTAATTGGTATTTTCCTGGAGAACAACCCCATCTGAAAAAAAAAATTAAATAAATAAAATGTTTATATTTATTAATAACATATATAATAATATACAACAATATATTATGTGTTGTTAGATTTCTCATAAATCGATTAATTTTACGTTGATTGTCAGTCTATTATGATCTTATTCTTTCATTTGAACTAGTTAGGAATAGGTCATTCGAGCTTATATATTATGAAGATTCATCATAAATTGACTATTTTTATGCTGGTTAATTAGGAATCGATAATTTGAACAAGCTTACACAGGAGGAGAACATACACATATTATGTATTTGTGAAGAAAATTATAAATTGACTAGTTTTACGCGTGACAGAAAAAGAGACTTTTGAAGTAATGAGTATAATTTTTTTTCAACCCTCCTCTTTTATCTGAGTTGGAGTTAATACCTTGAGCAAGCTCACACAAACAAAGTACACATATACAATTTGATACACAAAGTATTTTACGTTAGTAGGGTTCAGAAAAAGATCGCACCCTACAGAAACATGAACATGATGATGAAGAGAAAAAAAGAAGTAACAAGAAATGAAAATTATATGATTGTGTATACTTACTTAGGCCAAGATTTGATGCCCAATTCATCGAGTTGAGATTGTGAAGGATTCTTTTGAACAATTATCCCAAGATTTGATGATGATGAAGAAGAAGAAGCCATGAAAGAAAAGAAAAATAAATTAAAAGAGATATTTATTTATATATATATATGCACTCAAGTTCAACTTCACCCTTTGTTTTTTCTTGATAATAATTGCAACCTTTTTATATACTATAAAGTTATTTATTAGGGGGACAGAAGAATCTTTTTTTTTTACCAAAGAAAAAAGAAGAAAAAAAAAGTATATGATATATACTTTTAAAGACAAATAGGTTTGTATACTTTTAATTTCAATATATCCTTTGACCTATCACATCTAAACTATGTCTTGTTCATAAAATAATTTGGATCTATTTTATAAAAAAATTTATCATTAAAATAATAATGATAATAATAGTAACAACATAGTCAATGTATTTTCACAAGTGGAGTCATAAAAAATGAGGTATGAATACAAACAAGATATACAGAGAGAGCTCGACTTAAACAAAACATATAAGACTAGATTATTATTATTATTATTACAATAACATACACAATATAATCTCATAAGTTGAATTTGAGCTGATAATATACACATATCATATCTCTATTCCGTAAAAATAGATAATTTAAAAAAAAAACTCTTCGCTCAAGTAAAGTATTACTATTTTTAAATGTTAAAGTAGCTAGTTGTTGTGGTACAACTTGTAGGAGTTGTTTAAAGATTATTCAATCACGTTTTTTTAAAATAAAATAATAATGTATTTTTCGAAACTAGCATACTCAAATTATGATTTTTATTCTAATGTAGTAATCACATCTATCACATTTTATTATGTGGTTAGAGTCCAATAATTACCATAATCTTTCTGGTTTGAATTAGTCAGCTTCATTTCACGCGTCTTTTTTTATTAATAAATCAAATATTTTTTTTATATTAGTGAAAAAAATCCTTTTAGATGTGTATAATGATAATTTTATTTACTTTCAACAAATATGACAAAACAATATATTATTTATACGATCGGTATATATTAAATTAAATTAATTAAATTATTATTATTATAGATGACCTTTCCCCTGATGTTTTACTCAAGATTGCAATATTTTAAAAATGGTGAATTTTGGCAGATCATAAATATAAAAAGGATATTAAAAATTAAATAATTGATAAATTTTTTGGATAGGAATCTCCAGTCAAAGTGTTGACCAAAAAATTTAATCTTTGACCGACAGAAAAAAGTGGGAAAACTGTTTGACCAAGGAAAAAGCATTATCCTTTTTGCTATTTTTGTTCTCTTTCAATTATAATATTAATATTAATGTTGCTATCAATAATAATGATTGTTTGCAACAAATTTTAAAGTGACAGAAAATAAATTAAAATCACAAAAAAATATGAAGAAACATAATTTTATTCATCAAGATTACGGGTACAATTCTGTTGCTATCAATAATAATGATTGTTTGCAACAAATTTTAAAGTGACAGAAAATAAATTAAAATCACAAAAAAATATGAAGAAACATAATTTTATTCATCAAGATTGTGAGTACAAATCTGTTGATCCCTTGATTCTACTCTCCTAAGATTTTCCATGATTTGAGGGTCGTTAGTGACGTATTTTTCGAACTAGGATGAGTTGGATGATCTCTTTATGAATATTTCATGAATTTGCGAAATTTTCAAGATTTTGATCTCTTTATGGAATTTTCGAGATGCTTTTTCAAGAGAATATAGTACTTTTTGTCCCTAATTACTTGTCCACTTTTCAATTTTTAGTTATTCCTAATTACTTGTTCACTTTGACAAATCAAGAAAGGACAATTTTTTAACCTATTATACCCTCAATTAATTACTTTGAAAAATGTAGAACTTCTTGAAGGCCTTAAGTTTTAAATTCATTCACTTCATAATTAATGGGGTAAAATGGTAAATTCACTGTGTCAATAATTGTGTTCTTAATAGGAGTGTGAAGTGTCAATTCAAAAATGGACAAGTAATTAGGAACAGAGGGGTACCCTTTATAAAGGCATGAACTAGATTTTAAGGTTAAGTATTTTTTAACAATGAATGATATTATTTATATATTAAAACACACCCCCATTGACTAGCTAATAATGTGTAATGTACGAGCTTTATTTTGTTATGAACAAATGTTTTCAACACAAATAAATTAGAATATGTTTGGATTAACTTATTTTAGGTGTTTTTAACCCAAAATAATTTTAAAGCAATTTCAGAGTGTTCAGATATAAAAAAAAAAGTGCTTGCTTATAAGCCAAAAGAACAAAAATATGCCAAAAGCCAGAAGCTTGAATTTCTAATTTACAACTTTTAATATTTACAAAAGTGTAATAAGCCGGCAAATTAATTTGAGTGTGACGTCGACTTTTCAAAATAAATTAGAAGTGTATTTGATGTTTTTCTCTTTTAATAACACTGCTAATAATATGATAAGATAGTTGAAATCACTCTATATTCGATTAAAAAATGTTTTATTTTCTACTATTTAGTGAAATTATAACTAGTCACGATAAAAAAAATATCGAATACCAAATGATTATAATTGAAAAATATCTTGTCTTAGTAGATAAGGAAAGAAAAAGATATCACGTGCAAATAAATGTGCATACTAAAGTCTGTCAAAGGTGTAATTCCTTTGTTTGCATGAATGTGGTAGTTGGAACAGGTCCACCTAAATATCACCTCCTTTGTTTGCATGGTTCGGAGGCAAAATCAAACTCAACTCACCCAACTCGTTTAAGTTCGGACAGATTATTGATTCATTCATTAAAGTTTGGTTGATATGTAATCTGAATTGACTCATAAAAAGTTTTGTCAAAATATTTTTTAAAATTTTTTTCTTTTTCAATTTGATATGTTATATATAGCAATAATAATGAAAAATAATAATTTTAGTAGGTACTAAAATATTTTCCTTCCTTAACTTTTGTGTTTGTGCCGCTCACCTTTTTTCAACACCATTTTGCTCATTAACATTTCTATGTTGCTTCTTTCATCAAAGATAGGTGTGAACTAATTTTCTTGTTTAATTCCTTTTCTTACGGTCAGGTGGCTGAACACCGTGAAGGTTAAATAAGGCATGTGATAAGCAAGCAAAGTAGTCAAGTAAAAAAAACAAGCGATTTTCGTTCGATCACAGAATCAATCATAAAAGACCAAGTAAAACAATTAAGCTTAGTAAAAATTGAGTCGGATTGTGTCTTGACCCGTTACATAATCCATTTTGACCCAAATAAATTTGGGTTGAGTTGGGTTGGGTTGGGTCGGGTCTTAACCCATAATAACCTACCTAAATTTGACCCAACCCACCCAATTGTCACCCCTATTTAGGAGGTAATTTATTATAATTTTACAAACACGGGTTGTGGTGCAGTGTTGAGATTGCTTTACCTTAACCAAATGTCTCGGGTTCGAGTCCTAGGTATGGATGAAATCATGTTGAGAGAGCCACCCTTAAATAAGTCCTATAGTGCACAATTCAAATTCAACTAGGGCTTCAAAACAAGCTCTGAACACCAAATGGAAAAACAAAAAAAATATTATAATTTTTTAGAAATGTGTTGGGAGTTGATTAACAAGAAGAAATGTTTACAGTTTATGATTGGCCACATGATTCTGTCCACATGAAATTACCCCCTTCATCAAAACTATCGAATAGAAATCTCACATAAACATATGGATAGAGATGCCGATTCATACGTAGCTCGAAAGGCTCGTTTGAATGATTCATAAACCCTCGTCAGGATAAACACCCAAGGAACTAATATTCCTTTTCATTGTGCATTTTTCGAACAACAAAGACGACTATAGAATTGAATTCGCTTCCCTTCATTATCAAGCTTATCAAATAAAAAGTCACGCATAAACATATGGATAGGGATGTCATTTCACATGCCTAAAAAGACTCGTTTTAATGATTCATAAACCCTCATCACGATAAACAAGCAAGGAACTAGTATGCCTTCTCACCGTGCATTTTTTGAACAAAGTAGACGACTATAGGATTGATTCACCATGCAAGAAATGCTTGTTTCATATCTTCTGCATGTTTCTTATATGTGGAACTTGAATACATAAAGTAGATAAGGCTGGGTGAGAAATGGTTTCCCTTTCAAAACAGATCCTTATACATCTATATGTAAACGTTGGTACTCTTCTCGCTTCCTCTTTCTATAGATATGAAAACCATAAAACATTGATCAGAGAGCAGGATTATTCCACCGCTTAACTTCCAATTCGTCTCTGACCATCAAATGAAATGTAAATAACCCGTCCTCCTCTTTCAAACTTTCGGTTCTGTCAGTGCTTGAAGCAATTTTGTCAAGTTCCAAACATTCTAAATTGGATTAGACAAATATCAATGGATCCTTTATTAGTCACTCATTTAATGATTAATAACTACAAGTAACAGAGACAAACAATTCAAGTAATGAAAAATCCGCGATAAAATGCATAAAAACAAATTGATTGACTATTGAGTGCAAGCCCATAAATAAACAACTATGGGAAATTCAAGTGGCTTAAGTCAACTACAACTAGAAGGCACGTTGATCTTGAAATATGGAATAGAAGAGTTTCAGTCAGTTCAACCTGCTATCTTTGTCCCCTGATAGCTTCATCCAAGCACTGATATTAACAAAGCTACAGTTCACCAATCACCACACAAAATTGGAATTTCAATCTTTGGTTTGATACCTTGAAATCTATTTTTGTCTAGAATAGAAGAAAGTAATGCGGCTTCTAGTAGTCTTGTTTTTTTAAAATCATTACATGACATATTACAGGAAAAAGAAAAAAAAATTACTGCTACACAGATTGCAACAGCAAATCCAGAGAAGTATTTGGAAACATGTAGATTACTTATCTTCTTCTTCGGCATCCGGCTCCGCAAAGAGTGTCTCAGGTTGTGTATCAGCATATGCTGGAGCAATAAATTTTGGATCTTTTGCAGCTGCATCAGCATGCTTCAAGATTGCTTCTCTAGGATCCTCCTCCATCCAAGTCTCCTTTATCAAGCCACCTTGCTGCAACAACATGCAAAGAGTTAGGTCAATTCACCCAGCATTAATATGTCCAGAAGAGAAGATGAAATGGGGGTGAGGAGTAACAACTGAAATAAAGTAGACTCTGTAGTTTTGTTTTATTTGGGAAGAGAGGAGAAATACAAGATCAATAAATTCTATAGCAACTAGCAACATAAAGGAAGGCCACAAGAAGAATTTTTTCCTTCTCAATAGCAATACAGGCGAGAGACAAAATTCTCAAAAAGCATCCATCTACACTTGCTCAAGTAAAAACAACAATTTTACTGAAGCACAAACTTATATATAAATGAATGGTCTACGACTACTGCAGAAACCACCTTTCTGACTACACATGATGTGAATAGCATACATGCAGATAATTTCCTACATGCCACCAGGTGCTATTGCCTATTATTTCCTTGATACAGCGGTTGCATTTTTCAAGATCATGGGGTTCTCTCTCTCTCCCTTTTGGGGGATAAAGTTCATGAGGTTCTTAGGGTTTAAGGGAAGAGCATGGTAGTTGAGTTGTCAGTTGTCACAAAATACACTGGCAAATGAGGCTGAAGTAAACTGCTGATGTGATCGTACCTAGAATCCAAATAAGAAGCAATACAAATTAAGGAACACTCTCTAATTATAATGAGTTGAAGGTAGTGGGTTGATTATACATCTCTGATGAGGGATTCAGTTACTGACATAGGGATAACTTAGGTCTCAAAACACGAGAGGTAGCATTGACTGTCAACAGTCATGGAGGCATGCTATGAAGAAATAAAAACAATCAGCTCTGTTACTCCACCTTTTCTCTTCCCGAAACTAAAGGTCTAGAGTATATAGAAAGGAAAATAAAACAAAGAACAAAGAGAAGATCAGATTTTCTGCAACCACTGATGCTGGTTCTTTCGCTTCATTTCAAACAAATTATAAATGATACAAGACATTGTTAATAAGGATATTACCTTAAGAAGGTATTGTGTTAACAAGCTTCCCTTGGTTGAACCAACTCTACCACCAAAACCTGGCCCTGTCATTGGCAGCTCAGGTTTATGTGACTTCAGCGGATCCTTTAGTTCTTTCTCTCGCTGACGCTTGCGACTAGGTTGATCTCTAAATAAGGGTAATGCATGTGGATTATGAATAACTGGTTCTGCCTGGAAATCATCCACAGACTTTTTCCTGGGTGCACGAGCAACACAAACTAGTGCTCCTCTTTCACTCAGTGTTGGATCATATAAAATGTGTGTTCCACCTTCATGTTTATCTCCAACTGTTGCAAAGATCTGAGATAGAAGGGAAAACTTTTAGACCAAAATCTCAACCTTTATGCATGCTAAGATGAGAAATAGAAACAGAGAGTAGGAGAAGTTAGTGCACAGGAAACGAGCTTCTAAAACTACATATACATTTTCTCTCTTTCTTGGGATGAAGACTTTCGCGGGAAGCAGGTTTAAGAAAACACATTACAGCATGGTTATAAAAACTGTATTTCCCACTTCATGATATACATAGTGGTCACCAGTCACCACAACATGTGTAGTAATCAAGTGACATGACAGAATATTTGCTAGACTAGGAGTAATCTGAAACTACCTGGTTCAGCCTAGGGTGCCAGGCACACTGCACAACACTGTAAGAAGGAGATATTCCAACTCTTGACACTAGCTCTAGCTTTCCTCGATCAAAGAAGCATAGCATTCCTCCAGTAGTCCCATCTTTTTCAACAGACGTCCCAGTTATGAACAGTTGTTCATCAGGACTAAATGCAACGTTAGTTTGAGCATAATTATTTGGGAGATCATCAAACACTTTCAAGGGTTCTTTCATCTGGCGCAAATCCCAAACCTATGAAGCCAAGTCAAGATTATTGCATCAGAGAAGATGAATACCTGTGTACAAACTAAATATCAGGCTCACTTCAGATTTTACTAATACCTTCAAGGAACCATCAAAACTTCTTGACAATAGTATCCGCCCATCACTTGAAAATTTGACTCCTGTAATATCATCTGAGTGGGCATTTGCTACATATATATCTGGCCTGCTCCCCCATCCAGGTTTAAGATTCCATATCTTTAAGAAAGAAGTTCATATGAGTAAGGATGAGCTGAGACAAACAAACACAGAAAATTGAAATATGATCTTTCTTACACTCAATCTGTAGGAGAAATACCTGTATAGAACCATCTCCTACACCACCTGCAATGCTTTTTCCTTCCCGATCCCAAGCACATGTTGTTACAGGAACTCTCCCAGGCCGAGCAAGTTTTGGTTTAATAACCTACACAGTGAAGCTAGTCACAATCAGACTTAGGTTCAGGCCGGAATTTGTTAACATCAAGAAGGCAAATACAATAACAGCAACAAGGACATCAATGTTGTTTTGGTCAATGAAGTGCAAGAAAGATCCCCTGTTCCAGATCCAAAAAGGGGGAAATGGAGTCGGGAGGTTAAATGACCTCAGAAGAGGTTAAAATGAAAGGTAAAAATGGTGTCACATTCTAGAAGCAGTAAGGTATTACCCTAGTGTTTGATTTGACGATAGTCCATATTGAGCAACATTATTAAGAGATTTACATATGGTGTATTTGTATCATCCTGCTAGACAATTCATCTAACCTCTCTGACCCCAATGACTCTTTTTTTTCACATACATGTAAAGGAGATTCCTCCTCCATAAAGTAGTAAACTAAATATAAGAATATCTCAATTACCCCAGATAAAGGAAATGACCAAATGACTCCAATCTGAATATGTTGCTTTTATTCTTTAACTCAGTATTAAATTTACAGTAGAGATGAGGATTCCACTATAGGTCATATTATCTGAAAATGCGAAAAAAAGGTCCTTCCTCCAGTCACTCAATAGTACATGTTGTAGCAGTCAATGACATCCAGTTGTCCACCATGCTATGCAAAATCATCTATTTACTGAGGAACACACACCTGCTTTTGACTCTTAAAGTCATTGACATCCCACAGGCGCAACGAACCATCCTCCGACGAAGTTAAAATTGTCTCCTTTGTTTTAGGGTGCCATTCTCCACATGTCAATCCAGATATATGACCTTTTGTATTCTTAAGATCACGTATATACATGTCTCCTCTAACAAATTCCCCAAGTGTAAGTCCATCGCGATCATAGATCTGAAATACAAAAAGATAAATCAAGTTAAACCACAAACATGCATAGACTATTGATGAGAATATAGAACCATGTATAGACTAGCACCTTTGCTTGGGCTGACCCAGTAACACATAAAAATCGGTCTGCTGTCGGACTCCAGCTCAAACTACGAACTTGATGCCCTTCAGATGGTTCCAGCTGTCTAAATGACTGTAACCGAGCATTCATTCCTTGAAAATCATACATCCGAACAGTATAGTCATAACTACCAGAGAGAACCCTTGATCCTGAATGGTCCACAGTAAGAACTGACACAACCTGCCAGAAGTGTCAGAATACATCTCTTTAGAAAGACCCTCTAGGAAGATAAAGAAAGGAAGATTTAAGCTGACGACAGAACATTCCCTCTTAATTTCTATACTGCATGCAGACACACCTCACTTGATCAAGTACAACAATTCCAACCGCATTAACAATAAGCACGATAACACTTTGATTAGATAACCAAATTCAAATTGGATCTTCTTTGCAAGTTTAAACTCCATTTAAGATGCATGTGCACATAACATATGCATTCAAGTAAGTATAGGTGGAACACTAGAGGGATGAACTTCAATCTATTAGCAAGACATCAAGAACTCAAAACGAAAGTTACCAACCAATCAATTATCTCTCGACCCCAAACAAGCTGGACTCAACCTACAAATCCTCTATATCGACGTCCAGAGGCTTCATCATATTATCACTTGTTAAAGAATAACAAAAGTCCCACATCGATGGTTAATGAGATGGGTGGACTCCTTATAAGGCTTGGGTAATCTTCCTCCCTTTGAGCTAGCTTTTGGGGTGTGAGTTAGACCCAAGACCTAATTTAACATGGTATCAGAGCAGGGCCCCCAAAATCAAAATTGCCCACGCACCAGATGCTAAGCACAGGGCGTGAGGTGGGGTGTTAAAGAATAACAAAAGTCCCACATCGATGGTTAATGAGATGGGTGGACTCCTTATAAGGCTTGGGTAATCTTCCTCCCTTTGAGCTAGCTTTTGGGGTGTGAGTTAGACCCAAGACCTAATTTAACATGGTATCAGATGTGAGTTAAGCCTAAGACCTAATTTAACATCACTATTTTTAAGCTGTTCATAATTTATCCAGCAGAGTTAGGACTGAATATGCTAAGCTCACACAGGCGAGGTTGAACGAACTGATAATGTATTAGTTGAAGGACACCATACATGTACATTAAGGAAGGCACGAGCAAAAAAAAAATTGGCACCTTTGTATGTCCTTTCAGTACTATTTCATTACTCAAAGGTATCCTATACTGATTTTGTTGTTCTTCTTCTTCTTCCATATCGTCCTCCGAGTCTGACCCCATTGAGCCCGATGGCGGTGGAGGTGGCCCAATCATCTCCCCATCCTCCTCTTTTAACGGAGGTCGTGGTGGCCCAATCATTTCACCATCCTCATCCTCCTCCGTCTTTGCATCAACAGCAGGTCGAGGTGGTCCAATTATACCACCATCCTCCTCCTCTTCCTTGTCATTGCTCGAGCTCAAGCCAGCAGGAGGACGACTCGGCCCGATAATCTTCGACTTAGAATTGGAATCATGACTAGATTTAGGGTTTTTGAGGGAATTAAGCCAGGATTTGGAGGAAGAAGAGAGAGAAGGGAAAGGTGATGGCTCGAGTTTACCGTCGGCAGGTTGAGTAACGGAGGCGGCGGCGGAGGTGTTGTTCCGGCGAGTAGCGTTGTGAACGAGTTCGAGAGATGTTTGAGATTTAGCTTGCTTACCGAAGGACAACGGGAACTGTGCCCTAGCTCTGTCGTACATCTCTGCTTCATCGTCGGCCATACTAATAGTCTCACTGTGTATTCTCTATTTCTGAAACTATTTTTGATTTGCAAATTTAAAGGGGAATTGGGTGTAATTGAAGGTGAGTAATTACACTCCTCAATTCCGAAGGAAGGGTAAGGAATTGAGTGTAATTACACCATGTAATTATATATTTTTTTAATATATTTTTGTTTGGAAAAGACACTTCTTCCTTTTTTGTCTGGACATTTCCATTTCTAAGAACGGCAGCACATCAACAAGCCTACTTCTTCTTTTAAGTAAGATTTATTTCTTGATTCATTTTACTTTCATAGTTTGATGTCTAGGTAGATTATGTATGAATTTTATTTTTGTATTTTCTCCTGTTAGTTTTGAGATTAAAATAAATATGAGAATTAATTTTTTTTCTTTAATTTCTGATAATAATAAATTAAAAATCGATTTTAACAATCAGTTATACATAGTAATATTATTTATTCAAAATTTGATCTATTTTAAAATTTAACTATGTAATTACATTCGTCCAACCAAACAGGACAAAGGGAATTACACTGTAATTACATTGTGGCAACCAAACAGGTCAATGTAATTACTAGACTGTGTAATTACTAGGCTAGTAATTACTACCCTAGTAATTACACCAATTCCAATTACCAGGTGGCTTTCCAAACAGACCCATAGATTCTGGGGGAATTTATCTGCCGCCATTAGAGAACTGTTGCCGGAGGGAAATTTTGGAGAAGAGGAAAATGGATCCACTCCGAATCCTGCCGGGATCCGACCCGGATAAATACTCTCTCCCTTCCATAATAAGTGAATTTTTTAAACTATATTTTATTTTAATTTTGAAATTCATTTACTGATCATAAAAATAGTATCAGTAATTTATTTAAATTGGAGTAAAATAAGTATGATTTTATTTGTATTTGGATCATATTACTATATGAGTAATGAGTGTCTATTGTAATTATTCTCTAATAATTTGTTTTTGAAAATAAGAAAGAATATTATTATGTTTCCTTTTAAATATCCGTGTTTAAAAATTGTTTTTTTAATTATTATTTTTTGTATAAATAACTAATTAAACCATTTGAATGAAGTGTGTAGATCATATATAATAAGGTTTGAAGTGTAAATAAAAATTAATTTTATAATATAGAGAAAGTCCAAAATAGAAAGGAAAATTTTTAATTAGAAGTTTTGAGTTTGAGTTGACTCAAAATATGAAATGGAAAATTAATTTATTTTTAAGTTCGACTCGATTAGAAAAGAAAAAACTAAATAGAAAACAAAAATAGATCCATTGATAAGGCATATCTCTAGAACCCCTAAATCCTCCCTCGCCCTTTTCTTCCTCATTAGCTATGTCTACCAAAAAAGGCGGAGTTTCACTACCGGATCGTCCCGGCGCCGGAGATGGTATCATTTCTAGGTTTTCATCATCCATATCTGAATCACCGATTGTGTACCAAGGGAAGCGAGCCGCTTCCGATGTCGCGTTTGTAGCCAAGAAACTTTTCAAGAGCACCGGAAAAGCCGCCTGGATCGCCGGGACTACTTTTCTGATACTCGTTGTTCCGTTAATTATCGAGATGGATCGCGATGCGCAGCTCACTGAACTCGAGATGCAACAAGCTAGCTTGTTGGGAGCACCTCCTCCTGCAGGAGCAAAGTGAGGATTTTGATTTCGTCTTTTTTTTTGTCTTTAGGGATATGGATTACTTTTTAGTGATTTAGGAACCTTGCAATAAGACGATGGTATGGAATTTTCTAATTTATCATTTTGAAACCCAATCCGTATAATGTTTTGGGTCTTCATTATGTAACGGATCGTATTTTGGCAATTGCTTTCTCTATTACAATGTTACCATAAGCAGGAATACCCAAATTTGCAGCTATCTTTGAGTGAGAACTTTCGATTTCAGCTTCTGTAGATGAAAAAAAAAGTACTCTTTTTAGTGTTTGAGGGAGTTGGCAATTATATGATGCTACAGGATGTTCGAATTTAGGGTTTTGCACACAACTTGTTTAGTGAGAATTTTCGATTTCAAAGTCTGTAGATGAAAAAAGTGTTCTTTGTTAGCGTTATGATGATATGGGATGTCTGAATTTAGCTTTTTGCACCCAACTTGTTTAATATCCTGGACAATGTTTCATGTAGCAGATCTGATATTGGCAATTGCCTTTTCTATCATTATGTTCTCATATGCAGGAATACACGGCTTCTAGAGCAAATTCTATTTGTTTTTAACCAGTTTGGATTGCCAGGCTTACTTAGTGATGGTGGTGACTAGGGTTCTAGGTTGTTGAGCAGCTGGAGAGTTGCCATGAGTAAGTTTGAGGGATGTTGGATTGTGATGTGGTGTTGCTAAAGACCTAGAGTTTTCTGGTTATAATCTGATACGCTAGATATTGGTGTTAGATGAGGTTGATTTTACTATCTAGTGGTTAAGAACGGAATATTTATGAAATACAGCAAATCTAGTTGGAAAATTTCTGCTAAACCTGATTTCAGAATGATGGTAAAGTTTTTACTTTCTTATTTTTATATTGTGAATAACGTGGAACAGATAAGAGGGATTCATATGGCTGACTCCAACAAGTTTGGGATTGAGATGCTATTAAATTAAGCCTGATGGTTGAACTTAAGGACGGCCTGGATATGAATAGATTTAGTCCAGTGTCAAGGGAGAGGAGTGCTCAAGTGATAAGGACTGTGTCATAGCTAGCTCATAACCTTTATTTGTTTGGATGCGACAATTTGGTTTCACCATTTGCGGATTTCTTACTTGTAAATTATGACAGTACTAGTGAGCCCTTCATCACTGGTTTTTTGCCTCCTCAGAATGATGCTTGTAACTTCCCTCAATCATGTAGTAGGGCTAGTCCCTGATTTTTCTATCTGGAAATAAAGTGTTTCATGCATCGGTACTGTTTCTTTCTTTTGGCAAACCACTTTTTTTTGATGAAATAATTGATGTCATTAAAGGCATCAAGCATCAAAAAGATGCATAATTACAAGTAAAGGTAAAGCTGCAGAGTAGCATCAAAGAGCAAAAAAACCAACCCCGGCTACTCCAGCAGTCCTATGCATCCTTGATCCTATAAGGTATAATCCACCTGTTTCCAAAAACTGAACAAAACATATCCCAAAAATCTGATGCAAATCTACAGGGCAAACCACTTTCTTAAAATTCTCGGCTTAGGGGAATTTTTCTATTGTAATTTGTAGCTACTGGGAATTGCTTTTTACAAGAGACTGATGTAGAATTATTCAGTGGATTGGATTTGTTAAGAGATATTAATATTGGAAGTTGTAGATGTATCAGCTGGAGGCGCAAAGGGTGAGATTGAGCTGAATCTTTAGATACCCACTGGAAGAGAAATTATTGATAAGCTCCCTAGAAGTTGGTTAGTCAGGTCATCTATCTGGTTGTTTAACTATAATGAGGTTTATGTGGTACTGACGTATCCCGGCTTTTGTGTTTTTGCTGAAATACGTGAAGAAAGATGATGAGCAAAGAAACAGGTAGTCATTGGAGACATTGAGAATAACAGGTCAATAAGTCAGGTCATAAGCATAGCAACTAGGGAGATGATAAAGAAGGTAGAAGGCTGATGGTTCCAGTTTGGAGTCTTTGAAACAAGACATACTTTGTAAGGGAGAAAAAAAGGTAGAGCATCAGGAAAACAGTTAGTAGCATAAGTTAGCCTGAATTAGTTGTATTGTTTTCCCCAAAGTCCCCTTTCAATATTCACTAGGCATCTTAAAGAACAAGGGGTAGTCACAATTAAAAGGGACATGTGATAGTTTTCTTAGATTTGATGTCAATGGGATGATGCACTTTTCAGCATAATTTTCAATAGTTATGATGACCCGCAACCTTGTTAACTTTTCTTGCTGTTGTTTCTGCATGTTACTCCCTCTTTTCCATTGTTCATTCAACTGAAGGTCTATCAGCAACAACCTCTCTACCTTATCAAGGTAGGGGTAAGGTGTGTCGTGTGTGTGCGTCTCCTCGGACTCCACCTGTGGAATTATACTGTGTTCGTTGTTGTTTTGTTATGATGACAGATAACCGTCTAGGGTCATCTGTATATCTCTGCCAAATTTGAGTCCTTTGCTAGTAGATGAGTAATTGGTGAGATGAGAAACAACACTCAGCGCCGATCACTTCAGCCATGGTTCCTTTTTCTTTCAGCTGCTTGGTTTTGTAGAACTTGTAAAAATAAAAATTAGAGCCAATTGCATGATGTATTTTTAAGTGGAGAGCCAAGTAAGTAGTTTGAAGCTTGGTAGATATTCTGAGTTCTCCAAGAGTTCGTGGACTGAATCTTTTCTGAACTGTCATTATTGGTGAATGCAACTTCAAATGAATATATGAGCACTTGTGCATATCTAGGATGAACAGAGAACATATTGACAAGTTTTGGTAAGTTATCCTTCTAAATGAAAAAGTTGGTAGGCTCATCAGTTGTTTCTAATTTATGCATAATCTTTCATTTCCTGGTAACAGATGTTTGTTAAAGCGATGTTCTGCGCGGTTTGATTAAGTCATTCAAATATCCTTAAGAACAATGTCCTTCCCTGAGTTAATGATGGTGCTTTGTTAATCGTTCGAAGTAATTGAAACCAGTTGTTAGGATTTATCTTAATAATAAAATTGCTAATCAGAAGTTGATTATGATATCTGGTTCATAGTTTCTTTTTATTTGTTGAGTTTTTGACTCAAATGGTTCCTTTCGTTGAAGGGAATTATCGTCCATTATATTATCTCAATACAGTTCCTTAAATTTCAAAAAAATAAAGTTAAATACTCGTGGGCCAACTAATTGTCAAGCATAATACTAAATAGACGCTTCAACTTAATTTTAATTTGCGATCAAACACTTCAATTATTAAAGAACAACTTTCACATATAGCAAACATAAAAATCATATTTGTATGTTATAGCTATAGTTTGCATAATATGGAGTTTTTTATTTGTATAATTCGCTACAAACATCCAATTTTATACAAATTGTTCAGTTTTATATAAATTTATTTATACATTGTAATTTGTATAATTATAGGTGTATAGGACGAAAATATATGTATTTTGTATTTGTATATACACTTTTCTCTCGCTTTATACAAATACAAACGAATTTTATATCGAAATGTATAAAATGACTAATTGTATACCGAAAATGACTAATTGTATACCGAATCAGATGGCAAAAAAAGGGATGTCTGCTGCGAATTACAATTAAAATAAACTATGGCTATAGCATTTAAATTGAATTAATAGTTTGCTATTTCATACAATTTTTCCATTATTAAAATACATCTCTAGAGGTAGGGGCAGAGCCAACATGTCTTTAGGGGGTTCTCCGAACCCCCTTAGGCGGAAAATATTACTATATATACATGATTAAAATTATTTTTTAGATGTATATAATAGATGTTGAACCCCCTGCGACTAGTTCGTATGTTTATTCCTACGAATTTTGAACCTCCTTATTGAAAATCCTAGCTCCGCCACTGTCTAGAGGTAGTAACTCGTTCTTATTGTGTTTCATGAATACTTGATGCTGATGTGGCACATAAAGTTGATAGTATTTGTATAATCATTTTGTAAGTTGAAGTATTTAACTGACTCATTGAAGATGTGGTTTAGATGTGTATTTTCTAAGTTTGAGTATTTAGTTGTGCGTGACCATGGTTATATTCGGCATGATTTCCTATTTTCTCGTGTTCAATTGGTTAAAATTTTTTGAAAAGTTTTATTTAGATTTTTTTAAAAAAAAATAAGAAAAATGATTTTCTTAATGAAAATCGAGAAAATAAGTGGTATTGTCTCCAACCGTAAATTCTTCATTTAAAATTTAAGAATTTTTCTAATCTAGAGAAGCTAGAGTAAGGTCTTGTTGAAAATGAAATGAATTGTTTTTTGTGTCGTAAAGACTTCTATATTTACACTCTGATCGTCCCTCCGGAGTTCTTTTGCACTAAATTTATATATAAATTATAACTAAAATATTTATAAATATATGTTTTTTTTTAAATTATATATATGACATTTTACAAAAATTACTGAACTCATAAATTTTTAATTTTTTTTACTAAACTCATGTCTATGATAAACTTATACTCCCTTTGTTTCATACTATTTAATCCTTACATAATTTTTTAAAAATTTATTTATCCATTTTAGCAAATCAAAAAAATTTACTTACTCTTTTATTCATATAACCTTTAATAATAAATAATTACATAACATAGTAATAATCAAATTTATATTTTTAATGTATCATTAATAAGGTTAGTTTAATAAAAATTTAATCCTAACAATTTTTTTTTTAAGAATTGTGTCGAATCAACATGAATCACATAAAATATTTTTTTTAAAAATAGGTTAAAATGTGGACCTGATGTTGAAACATTGACAAAAATGATTCATTCTCTTTGATAATAAGTTCAAAATAGTCCCTAAAGTATTACCTAAGTAGTTTTGATTTATTGAGTTTGTAAAGAATAAACACATTTGATTTCTGACAAATATTTATCAAACTTTAATTATTAAATTTAATCTGCACAACAAATAGTAATAAAAAATAGAAATATAATAGATTTTCGTTGAAATTTCGAAAACGCAACATAAATGTTATATCAAACGCAAAAAATAACACAAATTAAATCTTAAAAAATTACACCAAACTTTTACGATAGACCCAAGATAACAAAATCAATACTTGCAAATGTGAGTTCCAATAAATATTTTCTATTTTTACAAATTTTAATATAATTTAACAATGAAACTTCGAATAAAATACCTAAAAGAGATAAAACTGGTCAAGTGATATTTAAGAGACTATTTTTTGAACTTATTATCAAACATAATACACTATTTTTAGT